CACAGCAGTTATGTTCATTTAGTTTAAAATTTGAATACTATCATATATCATGATGCCATCATGTTGCCTGGCAACCAACTAACAATGGCACTTATGTAGTAGAGGAGAACTTCATCATTGCAGTGCGTCCAAAAAAGACATGACATGGTTAAAGATAATCTGGAGTAAAAAAAAGACCCACCAACCCTACTTATTATTTTCTAAATGAGATACAGTATGTCAGTTTGCCAACAGCACAAACACTACTGTAACATGGGTATGCAAAAGTATAATAACATTTCCAAATTAACTGACATGTTCACTGTTTTAGAGATGTTTTAACAATAAGTGTGTCATAATATGCTTATATTGTTGATAACCATGATATTTAATAAACTAACATCAAATAATCATCAAATAATATTCCTGTTATTATCTCATTATGGAATATATTTAATGTACAGTGAAGTCCTTCAAACACTGCAGCAGCTGCAGCAGCAACTATAGCAAATATGTTCAGAGTTGTGCTAACTGCCTTATTTTTTATTGTTTAAGGTAATTGCAACCGCTGCACTGGTCATATGCATCCTGGCTATCACTGACAGGAAGAATATTGGCGCTCCAAAGGGCATGGAGCCTCTGAGCATTGGCCTGATCATCGCAGGCATTGGAGTGTCCATGAGTCTGAACTGTGGCTATCCAATCAACCCGGCTCGAGACCTTGGCCCCCGTTTCTTCACAGCTTTGGCTGGATGGGGCATGGAAGTTTTCAGGTAACTTAGCTGTCTGATATTTAAACAAAAGATGGTTGTTATCGACTGTTAAGTGCATTTTATTGAGACTTTGGGAAGAATTTCATTTATTGATTTTCTGTTCTTATTGCACATGATGAGCAGCATTTGCACCTGTGACAACTGAATTAATATTTCAATGAGAGCGAGGAGCAGAGGGCAATCCAATGCAGATAGATATAAAATATTCAGCGCTTTGTTACTGAAATGAAACAACTGGATGTTCCTCAGTTTTATTCCTTTTTACCTTCAGCTGGTCCTGTTTTGTGTTTTTCCACAAAAAGGTTTTAATCAGATTTGGAAGATCACAAAAAGGGTTATTTTGTCTACACATGTAGTGTGCAGTACTCAATACCTGCTGTTATTAACACTCAACCGCTGCACTATGTATATTATAATATACACTTACATATTTTTTTGTCTATTTTTTGCATAGTATTATTAGTGTTAGGTTATGCTGCATCTATTTATCTTATCTTATCTTATCTTATCTTATCTTATCTTATCTTATCTTATCTTATCTTATCTTATCTTATCTTATCTTATCTTATCTTACTACATTAATGGCACTTTTTGGGGTATTTTAAATCACTAGTAACAGCTGCTATAAAAGATGAAAACTAACTGTCACATGTGCATTCATGTAAGTCCATCTGTCCATCGGTATATGCAGTAGTTAAAGTGGGGTTCTTTGATTAATCTCCACTAACTTAAAAATATATTTAACACCCCTTATAAAAAAACAAATACATCATTTTGACCCCGATTCCCTTATGCTATCTGTGAGCCAAAGGAAATTCTGACAAGTTGAGAAATATTATTTCAAAGTTGCTACAAAAGCGTTCAATTAATCATCGCCACGAAAACGACTAATCGTCAAACTGTTGGCTATGCTCTGGGAAGATAGCGTCATTGGCAGGATGGAAACATTTTTGAAGCTGTGACACGATGATGTTGATTTATATGTTGATTTTGGCTTTATTGACAGATCTCTCTTCGGTTTTAAGCAAGCCAAGCTAAAGCACCGGCTAACAATCCAACACCCTAATAACCCAAGCAAATCCTCCAGTAAACCTAAAAGATCTGTATATAAAATAAAGAATGAAGAAAAATAATCAAAGAGCAAAACGTTGCAAATGTAAGGAGGTTACACATCCATTCTCTAAGTAAGTTTATGGAAAAACTGAGGAATGGAGAAAATCACACATCATCGATCTCTGTGTTTAGCACAGACAACATTTCACTTCATACTTCCCTGATTTTAAAACTAAAGTTTAGGACTGTTTGTGCCCCAGTCGCAACAAACTGGTGGATTTATCATGAAATACCAGCAGGTGTCTCACGCAGTATTTAGGCCAACCCGTTAAGTATCCTGAACTCTCAGAGCATGACAACTTTGCTCCCACTCCCTCTTACCCATGTGAGTCAGTCCTGACTCAATGAAGACTCAGTCAAGAGCTCAGGACACGTTTCTATGTGGAAGATGATATTAAACTCAGCTGTAACTGTCAGGTGCATCCCACTGGTTTCAGGCGGGGTGTTATCAGTGCAATTAGAAAAAAAGAAAAAAGTTGTGCTTTAATACTTTCTATATGTAAATGTTCGAACAAAGAATTTTTAACAACAGTGCAATGTTCTGTAAAATTTCTCTCCTCCCTCTAAGAAGTGATTTAATTAAAAGGTCATGAAGGTTGCACACAGAGCTCCCCGCATTTGACAGGGTACACACTCGTGACATAGAGACACAGAAAAACAACAGGCAATTTAGAGTTGACAGAAACCCTAACAGTTTAAAGAAACCTGCAGAATCCAGGTGTTGCGACATTTCTGTGAAATGTTTTGCTTCTTGGAACCAAAAATTATCTGGAAATTTGGGAAATTGAGACAGTTTTTTTGTATTTAGCACCCTTCAGACCACATAAATATGTATCTTAGAAAGATCAAGAAGTACTGACCACTCCAAACCACCATCAAAATGATGCTGTGTCATCAAAGTGTACCTTTTATATTTTTCCAGTATGTTGCAAACATACGTGGGTTCAGTGTGTCTCCATGTCTCACTTTCACTTTGGACTTTGACTGGAGTGCAAACAGAACTGTCTGGCTACATGTAAATTACCTGAATGCTTTATAACAGTGAACTTTGTGTCAGCTGTCTGACCAACTATTCACAAATCGGTAATGTCTGTAGTGAAAATATTGGACAGAGACCCCAAGAAGTAGTATCACTGAACAGACTATCATTTACATCGTCTTCACTTAGACTTCTGGTCCTAACAGAGTTAGAAAACACTCCTCTGATGGCTCATCTCAGTCTCCGAGTGTTGAATCAGATTCTTATTCTTAATTTAGAAGATCTCTCCCCAGAATCTTTGTGATATTAGAAAACCACATCAGCTGTTGAACGCTGAAGTATTAGAATTTTCAGGAGCTGATCTCATCAATTGCTGGCAAATATACAGTGTTGGGCTTTTTAACTAACTCCTGTAGGATTCAAGCTTCCAGATATTGCAGGTCATGTTTAGTTTTTCCAGTTGTTGCTTCATTCTCCCTCAGGTTTCCCTTTTATGAAGACAGTATCCTCTGGGTTTCTCTGCCCAAAGCAAATTCTTTGTACCAAATCAAAACTAAAGCTTTCGTAAAAGTCCCCCTCAGAACTGATGGCAGTTTTCTGAGGCATTAGGCCTATAATCTTCATTCCCATCTGATCCAGCTGGGTTTTAACTCAAAATGTTTATTTTGGGTTGGCAACATAACACAGTTTAATAGTACAGTTTGCCTGAAGACAAAGCGTTTGTGCTGTTTGTTTGTGGATTTGCCCTCAGCGTCCGATCATCATTGGCTGTGCCCTGATCCAATCTCTTTAACCCCTGGACCTGAAAGTGTCTGAGCACAAACTAAGACCCAGGTGCTCTCTGAATAATATAGGGCATATAAATGCAGACTTGGATTTTTTTTTTTTCAACAAGCCTGAAAAATATAAATGTTCTGGTGTTATCTGTTACTGCACTACAGCCATAAATATCTCATGTGTAGCAATGTTTCTATAGTAATGGGTAGAAATGCACTTAAGAGGTTTGTATCACTGTGGTAAATCTGATTAAAAATGCAACAAAACAAAAGAAAAAATGGAAGTCGGGCTGAGGATTTCCTGACATTCCGTTTCTTTTCTCGCTGGGTAGAAATGCACTTAAGAGGTTCGTATCACTGTGGTAAATCTGATTAAATATGCAACAAAAGATTAGGTCCAAAACATCTGACAATCCTTTGGGAAGGACATATCCATGGAACAATGTGCATTGGTTTGCGCAAAAGCTCATAAACAAACTATTAATTCTAGACTAAGGTTGTTGCAATACAAATGGTTAATGCAAATATATGTTACTCCGGAAAAATTGAAATAAGTACAACTCTAATATTCCAGACACTTGTAATAAATGTAATGAAGATAAAGGTAACTTTTGGCATTGTATTTGGGATTGCAGGAAGATAGGCTCTTTTTGGGTTGCAGTAACACAAACTATGAAACAAATATTATCCAAAGAGGTTGTTTTGGATCCTGGCTTCCTTATTCTGGGATTGTACCCAGAAAACATGAGGTACACAAAAAGTGACAGAATGTTTATTGATATGGGTTTGTTACAAGCAAAAAGATTAATCGCACTAAAATGGAAAAGAACAAGGGAACCGAGTATCACACAGTGGATAAAACAAATGATGGTGGCTTTGCCATTGGAGCGGATAACATGTATACTGAAAAGGAAATTGGATGTTTTTGAGAAGGTGTGGAGACCATTTGTGAATTTTGTAGAAGGATTTGTATTATCTGAGGAGGACGAGGACTGAGGGCAATGACATTTGATTTGGGATAATGATAAATTTAGGCCTTTAACGGAGTGATAAATCTGATGACTTTTTTGTTTTCTTTTTGCTGTCTGAGAGGAGTGTATGTTCATGTAGTATTTAGAATGCTGGACTGTTTGTAAGTCATTAAAATGTAAAAAAAAAAAAAAAGATATTGTTGGGAAAAAAATGCAACAAAAGACAACATGTAGTAAAACAAAAGAAAAAAATGGAAGTCGGGCTGAGGATTTCCTGACATTCCGTTTCTTTTCTCGCTCACTATTTGCATTTGATGGTGTCAATGTGACCCACTGAGTGTCTGCCTCCCAGCCTGATCATCTTAGCCGTGGCCATAGATTAAAGTCTATAATCCGGGTGCCTCTCTCCTCAAGTCTACTTCCTGAATGTCTGCTGGACCTTGTTTACTTTCAGGCCTGCTCTTTTAATTGAAGCCCTTTCACCTATTGCTACATTAACCCACAAGACTCTAACTCCCTCTTCTAAGTAAAAGAGTCTTTGCGGGGGGGCAGAGTGAAAATGAGGACACAAGCAGCTGGTCCAACAAACAGAGCTTCTTAGTCTTTAATGTAATCTGGGATAACTTGTCTCCGGTAGGAGGATACTAACATAAACAAAGAGACTAGTGAAGCAGTTCACAATATATCTTTTAAACCTACTAATTAACCTACCTAATTAATTAATAAAATTAGAGATCATACAAAAGAAAAAATAATAATACAACATTAATTGTGCTGCATTTGTGCCATGTTTGCAGTCTTTTATTTTTTATAGCATTTAAAACAACATCCAAGTTGCAATTTTGATTCAAAAATATAGCTAGCATATCTGCCTATCTGAGGCATTATGACTATAATCTTCATTCCCATCTGATCCATCTGGGTTTGTTTTTTTTAACTCAAAATGTTAAAAACAACAACAACATAAACCATCTCACATGTGTCAGCATGTGTCAGTGCGAGATGGACAAACACAAGAGACTCATCAGCCAAAGGCAAGTAATAAACACCATCTATGTCTGAAATAAAGGCAATCCTAGCAGCTAGTTACACCATAATTGCTTATATTAGCATAGCAGTATCATCCATGAACCCACTGTGATGTGGACAGATTAATCGGCCACAATATCACCAATAAACCTGCAAATCCTTAGATCAATAAAATGGGGATAAAACATGTTACCTACTGAGCATTGAAGGTGGTGGTAGGTAGGTTTAATTATCTTAGGACGGAGACGGACTCTTCAGGTTTTAGCCACAGACTGTATGTAAAAGATGGACAGAGCTGATGAAGTCCCATTTTGAGCCATTTTGAGATGAGACAATGAGGGGTATGTCTGACTTTGAAGCCATATGCTTATTAGCTGTTGACTTGTTTTTGGCTCATAAGTTGTTAAGTTGCCAGCTAATGAATATTTCCTGGATAATCCTCCTTTCTGAAACTTAAAGTTATAAAACATTACAAAATGGACTCAATGCTTTATACAGTATAACCAGAAAATACTTCCAAAGACCATAAACTCAACAGTAAAGTATTTACTGTGGTCCCAGTAGAGAGACATCTATTGGACTGTGAGTCATTCTGCAAATATAGCTTTCGCCCCCTGATGGCCATTAAAAGGAATGCAAGTTTAGGGTACTGGCTCCTGTTTTCGGACCCAGAAGCTACATCTAAGTTATCAGATAATGCTAGCTAGTTGCATTTCACAGAATGAGATATCTGCTAGTTAGGGCTAAGTAACATTAATTTGAAAAACAAAAACCACTAGAATTTAACTCAAAACTGGCACTCAGGTTTCTTGGGCAGTCTACAGGTATAATTAACAATAATGTTAGTCATATTGTTTGTCCAACACACTCTACAAACCTAGCCATGAAGTAACTCATACTCTACTGGCACCAACCTTTGAAACTCAAAGTGAAGTCAGAGTTGTAAAAAACACAATTTTTTGTATCAGGTCATAACTTTGTTTATTCCTGATGTGACGATGGCTATGTCGAGCATTAGAAGAATGATTTTAACTCACTTTTGGAGCTGGCCTCAAGTGGCCACTGGAGGAACTACAGTTTTTGTTACATTTTTCAGCACTGGAGGTTCCTGCTCAGTTCTAGCAAATCAACATAAAACTACTCTTTGAAACCAAAACATAAATGTAATATTTTCGTATTGTTTGTAGTGTTTTTTAAAATCCTAACAAGACATTTCCGTCAGCTGTCTGTCTTAATGATTATCCCGTTTATTAGAGTATAAATAAAAATATTAGAATTTCACTCTTGTTAGTGATTCCTCGGCATGAATCTAACATCAGCCTCTCTCTGTATGGTAAACTTTTTACTTCATGATCCTAGTTTGTTTGTTTTTTAGGACTGTGCAATAAGCAAACAAGTCACTAGTTTTTGTTTATTTGTCAAAGCACCTTCAGAGCCACTGAGAAACACTTTCCATGGTTAAATTGACGCAAAGATGAATTATTTTAAATCCTTAATAAGACCAGATACGTTTGGGGCTGTGTTTTTGTGACATCATAATCTCTGCGTATGTCCCCTGTCTGCAGAGCTGGAGGCTGCTGGTGGTGGATTCCTGTGGTAGGGCCCATGGTGGGTGGCGCAGTGGGAGCAGGTGTTTACCTCATCTTCATTGAGCTGCACCACCCTGAACCTGAAAAACAAGAGGAGAACAATGTCCAGGACAAATATGAGATCGTAACTATGACTTAATACTAAAAAAAAACAGGTGTTAGCATGAAAACTGAAATCTATTTCTACTATAAAAAAATATCTGAGTATATTTACAGTGAATAGTTGCATGAAGCATGTACGTGAATGGAACATTTTATAGTCATTTATTTATATACACATGAATATTTTATGAAGCCTTTAAAGTCTCTTTTTTTAAAAAGTCTATACGACTTCAGGTATCAGGGTTTATCTTCCAGGGGCTCTTTTATATATCAAATTTGACTAAAATAATATATCAACTATACAAAAAATATATTCTCTTTAGTATCATAATAATAAAACCTTATATAAAGTGTTTTTTCTGCATTAATCAGTAGCTATGCAGTATTTTTAATCTCCTATTTCCTAACTGGGACCATCTTCTCCTGTTAGAAACATTTGCCAAGTTTCTGAACAATATTGTTTTTTTATGTGCTTCTGTCAAACAAGTGGGCATTAAATATACAGCATGTATTTGAAAACTGCTGAAAGGTAGCAATTTATGATATGTTTAGGTAGTGGCATTAATTGGTATCGTGGAGTGTCTTCTCTCTGTGTCACACCATCCTTTGCGTGCATGTAAAAATGTACGATTGCTGCATCTTGCTGTTGTCGTTTTGTTTTTTTAACGTGTATATGTAGAAAGTCGAGCCTTAAAATGACGATACTGGTATAAGTTTATATTTTCATTTATGTATGCTCGCATAAACTTTTCTTCTCTGCAAAGAATGTAGCACATGTCACTGAATTCCTTCATGTTCTTTGTAGCGGTAGTGTCACTGTATCACAGGCAGTATGCAAACACTGACTGTAACTGTTTACATTAAAACCTTCTCGCAGCTAATGTGGGAAATGTGTAATAAAGGCTGAAAATTCCCTCCAAAGCACACAATCATTGAGCCTCTTGATTCAGATTAGTTTGTGATATTTTGAGATTATCTTATCTGCACTATTTACTCTTGATACGTATTTGTTTAAGACATGATTTGAAATGTCCAATTTTGCCCGATCTTGCAGCCTTGAAGAATCTAATTTACATCTTCATATACTCTAAAACAGGAGTGTCAAACATAAGGCCCGGGGGCCAGAATCAGCCCAGCAAGCAAAGAAAGGCGACAGGTTTCATTTTCACTACATAAGATCAACGCGGGCTGCATGTGGCCCACCATGTATAATGAGTTTGACATGCCTTATCTATACGTGAATCACTGCTTAGATGGGCTGAGCCATATGTGCAGTAAAGAAAAAAGCCAGACAAACAAACAAATAAATGAAACCAATCACATCACCTGTTTGGTCTTCATAAGGCTGTTTTTCAGCATAACATGACGTTAAACACAGCCTTGAAGATTGGATCACTCAGAGTAGGCACTGCTGTCAGAAAACAGGAAGCATATAATCTCTGCTAATGCGTGGATGCTGATATTGGCTGTCAGTTGAAGAAAAATAGCCGTTCTCACATAATTACTATGCTGAGTGTCATTTTACAGCAACGCAGTGGTTTAGTGATATAAAAGCACTCAAAGCACTTAAAAGTTGTTTGTTTTGTGAAACAGGAAATAATGATGACATAATCTCTGATGTTTGTCTGTGCACCATGCATGATGCATGCATGGTCCATTAAACGCTGCACTGTTAACTGTATGTATGCAACTGTTCATTAGTGAGATTATATTTCATTGTTTATTTTTCTAATACTTCTATGTTAGAGCTGTTTGAAATCACATGTACTTGTAATGTGTGACACATTTTCTTCTTTAACACGTGTCACTGTATCAATGTAGTAAACTGATAAGCAGCATTTAAAACGAATCAGTGAAGACAGGTTGTGAAGCTTAAACAGCTTCATGAAGAATGGATGCAAAGTGTTTTGCTTATCAGTGGTTTTTCCTCAGAAAGCAGCCTCTCACTACCCGAGCCTGCTGCATGCTGTGATCTAGATTAAGTGTTTATGGCAGCTTTGATTCCCCATCAGTCTTTATGCTGTCACCATGTTTCCCTCATCTGTATGTAAATTTGTAAAGTACCATCACAAAGGCAGTCCTTGCCTGCTAAAACTGTGTGCACACATCTGAAGAAGGCATGGATGTACACAATCCTTGGCAAAGAGCAGGGTCATCTGTCTGAAAGTGTGTCAGGTGACATCATGCATTAAACAAACCTCAGCTTTAAATATAGCTGCTGTTCAGAACAGGTATAGAGAGTGTTTAATAGTAAGGTTAATATACCAAACACCTTACCTTACAATATAATATGCATTGAGGCTGCTGTTGTTCTGATTTGTGCCATATAAATAAAACTACATTTATTTATTTGCTTACTTTTCCTCAAAGCAATGAGCAAACCCAAAACTTTTTTTTTTACTAATATCGGACAGAAAGACAACAGATACAAAGACACCAAAATATAAGCCTGATACCACTGCACACACAATAATATGATTCATTGTTAATATAAAAGTACTGAATCAAGCAAATGTTAAAATTTATTTTGAAAGAGATATTACGTAGAGTTTTTAATAAAAAAGACAAACAAAATACAAATACACTTCTTTATAACGCAGAGATTATAAACAGAAATCAGAAGTGAAGACTGTGTACGCATTAAAAGGAAGAAAACAAAAACAGTAGCTTAAAACTGAAGAAAATATGATTCAGACGCTATACTATTTTGTTAATACCCAATATTACTAAATGAAAACGGTTTTATCTGCGGTTTTATTTTTTACCCACTCTGTGAGACGTTAAGAAAATTTTGTGTGCACTATTGATCCACTGTGTGCCCTGGGTACACAGAGTGCTCTTCGTCAACTGTTTAAACATAGGTTTAAGCAATGCGGTAATAGTCCACATCTAATCCATGTCATGTCTTTAGCCAATAACACATAGTTCTATAAAAGCTGCATAAAAAGTACATATTCTGTACCTCTACCCTGGTACCTGGAAAGGGTCTCGATTGAGGATCCAAGGTCACTTCCAGCACATCGTACCACATCCCCTGCCTATCATACCTCTGCTCTTTCACAATGTACACGATCCAGCCCCCAGCCAATCAGGATAAGAATAAATCCCCCTTATCCACGAACCATTGCTCCTGGTGTCCCCTCTCTTTCTCTTTAGAGTTCGGTAAAATAATCCAATTTCAATCCTCAGGACAGAAATGAGGCTTCCTTAAAAACAGCTCCTACATCTGCAGACAAAAGGCTCTCACCTTTAAAATCCACAGCACGCGCCGAAGATTTTCTAAGCGTGGCCAAAAGGACCTACCAAGCTGACGGCATGTTTGTGGTCAAAGTCTTGTGGTGTTTGCTTTTAATCTATCACCTCAGTGAGGGAAAGAAAATCAAAGGAATCAGAGCACGTAAGTGAAATATCATGCTTTGCCTTCGCTTCTGTGATTTATGCACAGATTGATTGATGCTATCAAAATCTTTAACAAGCACTAAATTTAACTATAGTTCATGCTGTGAATTCATGCTGAGGAAAGTGTTTGCAATGAGACTCACACCGAAACTAGCCAATCTGTACACCGCAGAAGTATACACATAATTTCCCAAAGTATCTCTTTCTAAAGACAATCTTTAAAACAATCTTTACTCTTTATTTAGCCTCACAGTAGATAGTTATAAAGATGTGGTTCCACAGAGTAGTATTTTGCCTAAAAAGCAAAAGCTCCCCGATTTGGTCCCAGGAGGAGACACAAATGGATCACAGAGGGGGCCGACATAGAAACACAGATAAATGAGACATGTGGAGCTACCTGTCATGGCTACCCCGTGTACATCAGGAAGCAGCTGAAAGCAAATTCATGTCTTGTAAAGTGAAATTTTAACCAAGTTTCAGTCCAGCTGCTTCAGGCTGTATGTTTATTTTTACTAATTCATATGAACAATTACATTTAAAAGTTACATTAAGATTCCACAGATGAGCAACAAGTAAGCGGAGAAACACAAACAGTGTGTGTGTGTGCGCGTGTGTGCGTTTCCCTTGTTCCCTTACAGTGAAGAGTCACTTCAAATCGGTATAAAGCTGTTCTGAGCTTTCACGTTTATCCTGTGATAAAACATTTTTCATGCAATCGGTCCTTTCAAGATTGCCTGTGCCCCCAGTGTCTGGGGGAAAAACAGGCCACCAAATGATTTGATGAATATAAAAATATGAATCACGTTTTTTTAACATCTATGGGAGATTTTACAAAGCTGTTAGCCTTTTCTCCACCACGTGGATATCTGGGTGAATGGCGTTCATCCAGAGAGAGACTTAAAAACTGAAACAGCTGTCAGATCTTGTTAAGTTGAACTTGTTGTTTTGAACTTTTAAATACTTTTTTAAATAAAATAAAATATTTAGCATCTTAAAACCCAGCCTTTTTTCTACAAAATCTCAACTATTTGAAAGCTCGTAAAGGATGCGTTCACACCTTATTGATGATTGTTATTATTTTAAAAAGTCCTACAACGAAATCATTAAAACGTGCGCAAAAGGGAAAAGTTACTGGAGATTTTAACTCAGATCAGATTTCCTTGTATTATTGTAGGGTGTTTACCTCACAATACAAAGCTACTTGAGGTAACTGTTGTTGTGATTTGGCGCTACAAAAATAAATATAAATAAAAAAATAAATAAATCATATTCCTTTAGGTTTCTCCATCTCAGTCTTTAGTGCCGGTGTTTTTACTGGGTCTTTAAATGTGGGCTTATGACAGACTTCATGCCCCATTTAGAAATATGTTTTTTTTAATTATGCGCTGTGATAGATACCATGACTGATTTGCAAAGTAAACACAGTTCTTGTACAAATTTCTGGGTTAGGGTTTGTTTGTGTTCTGTTACTAATGAGTCAGACTGTTTTCACTGATCGTGTCGATAAACAGTCACTGAAGAGACACACCAAAGCAAATGATGATAAATGATGGCTGGATGTTCTTTTACTTTTCTTGCTAAGACGATTTGGGCTTCACATCAGGAACCAGAACTTGTATGAAGGCAGCTGCATTGCTGGGTGTTTACAGGCGCCTTGGTTTTTGGCATTATTGGCTGTGGTTTTAAACATGTTGAGGGAGGAGGAGTTTACGTAACAAATGATAGAAGAGTCTGGCAGAGATTCATCCGATGGGACTTGTTGTGAAGTGATGTCTGTGAGCAGATGCCAGCGAGGTCTGTATGACCTGGACTCACAGCAAAGGGCTTCTGATTGGGCGTTAGTTAGTCTCCAGTCCAATGGAGCCTCAGCAGGAACTGACTGTCCTAATTTCTCCACGTTTACTCACTCAAATACTTACATTAATGCATCAAAACACACTCTGTGTTATCAAATTGACACATTTCCATTCATCATTTGTAATTATTCTGTAAGCATAACCATCGTGTTCTGTAAAGTACTCGTTTCTAACAGACAATCCATCCGTTATTTGATTTCTGAGGTGCAGTGGGGACAGAGCAGAGGGATGTCCTGAGGGAGAAAGAGCTATATGTCAGCAGTTCAGTCTTTAGGCTGTTTTTAGGAGGTGAGGACACCTGCACGCTGGACCCTCTGCAGCTGCACACTCTCACCTCCTGTGGCTTCAACAGCAGTAATCCCCTCATCATCATCACTCATGGGTGGTCGGTAAGGTCAACTCCCTTTTCTCTCTTTACGCTTCGCTGACTTAAGCCACTGGATACTAAACATGGAACTTGACTACAGGGAGGGAAACGTCTTCAAAAGGCTGAAACATGTTGAAAAAACACACCATGAGGTAGACACGTGGATCTGCACTGAAATGTAATTAAATTTTGGATCGGATCATGTCAGCCACAATAGCAGTTAGTTCCCAGACCACACCCGTCACAACTCAAGATTACTAAAGTTTTGGTAGAGATTTATACGTACATTATCCATCATTCAACCTTTTTTTTGCTTATCCAGTTCAGGGTTGTTGGGGGGGGGCTATCCCAGTGGTCAAAAGGCGAGAGGAGGGCCACATCTTGAATAGGTCGCCAGCCTCTTGCAGGGCTAACACAGAGAAACATACATTAAAAAGGGGTGGGGTGCTAGTGCCATGACTCTCTTGACCCCACTGAACTTTGACTGCCCTTTTCTCTTTGGAGTATGGAACATTTTGATCTCGGTTACACAACTATAAAGCTGTCTCTATAACAGTGAAAATATTTGTCCACAAACAGACTTAAGAACACCTGCCAAAATACATTAAAAACTCCTTGCTGTAATTCCCATTCACAAAACAATCTGTATCATATTTATCTGTCAGCGAGATTTCAACACCAAGCTGAAGTTGGTGAATGCTGCAGGAGAGGTGGAGGATGGCAGATAAAAGGAAGCTGTTACATTCTGGTGCACATCCAGGTCACCTATTCCTAAACTGCAAAACAGGAAGCAGGCCTTGGCTGAGGTTGAACCCTCTTAGTCGCCCTGTAGTTTGTTATGCCTCCCCGTATGAGGTAGCCTGATTTTATTTAGAGTGAAACCATATAGTATTTGTTTCACAGTCATGGTATAAAAGCAAAATTTCAAGTTTGATTTTCAATTTAAAGATTTTTTTTTTTTTTTTTTTAGAAAATAACTTAAAATTCTGACTTATGGATGGCAAAAAATGTTTTTTCTGTGGCAGAAACAAACTTCCATAGTCTGAGAATAGGGTCCCAGATGTCAGACAATCAGTTTGACAAAGGGAGGACAGGAGACACTGAGGATTAGCTGGAGATTAGAGACGCATGGGGAACAAGACACAGGTGAGCGTAATCAACACAGGTGGTGACAATAAAACACTGAATCACAAGTGATATAGAAATGAAAACAGAAAAGGAACAACAATCACCTTTACAGTGAAACATGAAAGATAAATACGGAACATGAATGAACTCATTCAGTGGGACAACATTTTGAAGACACAGGAAAAACAAAGAAAAATTTAGCTTCAGACTAAAGGCAGCTGGAACTGGAGAAGCATAAGAGACAGTGAAGGATGACACATGTGAAGACACGAGGACATGAACGAGACAGAGGGGACACAGACTGGGGAATGGATGATCTGATATCCTCGTGTTGGTGTTGTTCCCAGACCATCATGAAAATGTTGTTCCAGGTTCAACATTGCAAGTGACCAATCACATTGTTGTGACGTTATTCCTTTGCGCGCCAAGCCATTCATACATTTATGAAATTCCAATGTTGCAAGGACAATATCAATTCTGCTTACTGTTTATTAAAGGGTTACGGTTAGGGTTAGGGTTAGAGTCAGGGTCCGTTGATCGGCGGACAGAGACGGTTTCACGCAGCTTAAGTACAGTTTTTTGTTTTACGCCGGTGTTTCCCGAAGTCGCAAAAGTATGACGTCACAACATTCTGATTGGTCACTTGCAATGTTGATCCTGGAACAACATTTAGTATGATGATCTGGGAACAACACCAACTCGAGGATATCAGATCAACCCTGGGGAATACTGGTGAAAAATAACAAACAGAAGCAAAACACAAAACAGAACTCACTAATTTCACAAGAACTACAAATCACTAAAAAAGAAACTTGTGACAAGTGCTCAAAAATAAGAACCAGAATTCAAAAATACCATGAGAATTAAGACTCCATAAAAGCCAACAAACACTAGCTCAGCAAATGAGAACCAAACAGAAACCCCAATCCCACATACTAAGAATTCAAAAAGGAAAATAAGAAAGAAAAAACCCTCCATAAACACAGACCATGCCAATATATGATGGGTGGGAAAAAGTGAAAAATCAACAGTTTGTAACGGTTCATGAGGAAAAATCCTTTAGTTAAGTAACAGAGTCACTGCAGTTTCTCTCATTTTTGCCGAACTGAACTATGCACAGGACTGTACTGTGCACAGCACATATTAACACTTTAAAAGTAAGCAGCTGTTTTTTAATGCTTAGTTTTGCTGTTGTGAAGGTGGATGGCATAATGGAGAGCTGGGTGATGAGGTTAGCCACGGCTGTGAGGACAAACCTGATAGATGCAAATGTGGTGCTTACAGACTGGCTGTCGCTGGCTCAGCAGCACTATCCAATCGCAGTACAGAAAACCCGCACTGTTGGAAAAGACATAGCTCACCTACTGCAGACACTTCAGGTGAGAATAAACTCCTCCACTGATCTTTATGATGTCAGTGGACTGAAAGGTGACACATTTTCATTCCATAGTCAAATCTATACGTTTCAGCAATCATGCATGTCTTTAATCGCCTACAGGAGCACTACAAGTACCCACTTAGAAATGCTCATTTGATTGGCTACAGCCTCGGTGCTCACATCTCTGGATTTGCTGGGAGCTTTCTGACAGGTCCGGAGAAGATTGGAAGAATTACTGGTGAGATTTTTAGTCCTTTCATAGCTAAATTTAATAAATAGCAATTTATTCATTTAATATTCTAAAACCACCCAATGCTTGTGTATATCATGTCTGTTCAGGGCTCGATCCAGCTGGTCCGCTGTTTGAAGGCATGTCTCCCACGGACAGACTGTCTCCTGATGATGCTGAATTTGTGGATGCCATCCACACTTTCACCCACGAGCGTATGGGCCTCAGTGTGGGAATTAAGCAAGCTGTGGCCCATTATGACTTTTACCCGAATGGAGGAGATTTCCAGCCAGGGTGTGACCTGCAAAACATTTACGAGCACATATCCCAGTACGGGATCCTCGGTAAGATAAATCTGTAACAGCACATTAAAAATTGCGACCACCAGAAATAACCATGATTGTTTTATAGTATAGTATTTCTGGGCAGCATGAAATAAGCAGCTCTGTGATGCCTCTTAGAGGCTGCAGTGTTTTATGGTCTGTAAGTGTGGGATAGAACAACAGAACATCCTGCTGTCTGTTTGCCGCTGAAGACTGGCAACAAGCTGCCTGGTCTGATGAGTCTCAATTTCTGCTCTGACATTCAGATATAAACAGCATGGATCGATCCTGCCTTGAATTCACGGTTCAAACTGCTGCTTTTAGTGATGTAATCATGTGGGGGATATTTTCTTGCCTCTTTTAGTACCAACTAAGGGTCAGCCTACCTAAGTATTGTCCATCCCTTTATGATCACAGTGCACCCAGCAACTGTGCGATGATATCATGTCAGCATGAACCGAATGTTTCCAGCACCTTGTTGAATCCAGCATCCAACCCTAGCCAGATGTATCTAATGAAGTGGCCACTTTAAACATTGTATTGAAACTTAAATATTACAAACATTTTTCTGAACAAATAGTCTTTTACAAATTTAGACCATATTTATCAGGAATACCAAAGCTATTATATTTGTTTATTTATTTAATGTCTGCATTGATGAGTCCACATAAAGTAGGCATTCATTCCCTGTTTGAAAAGGCATTCAAGTTTCTGGTTCCTCTGGTTTAAATCAAAGCTCCAATCAGAGCAGTATGTTCTTCTGCTTAAAGGCTTTCTGGTTTCCTTCTTTGCACGCTCTATCATAACATTTTTTCTTCTTAATTGGCCTTGCCACCTCAGAACACTGGTTTAGAAGCCACGTCTAGGATGCCGATTCCTCTTCTGCTTGTTGACAGTTTCTTCTTCTGTGTTTAGGCAGATGTATTTAATTTCATGCAGTCTAACAGAAGTGGCTGTGGGATTTATGCTGCCTCTCAATCCTAAACACATCCTCACAATATGACAGTGAGAACCACATTAAAGCATCTGTCATCCTCAGGAGTTAATTAGCAACATGTGCCGTGCTTTTTCTCTGTCCATCCGTCTGAGCTGAGCTGCCTTCAGGCTACAAGCTGCTGCTCAGAGAAACGGCCTTCAGAGCAGAGATATAATGAGTCACTTATAGGAGATGTGACAGAAGCAAGAGCTGATAGATGCCACCATTTGGCGATAATGAACTCGATCCACAAATAATGGTCAGGCTTCGTGGTTTAGCTCTTCCACAATCCGCTGAAAGTCAGATCAAAGTCGTTTTGGAGAAGCAGGTTTAAAATTTTCACCACATTTTTATTTTTCTCTTAGGCTTTGAGCAAACAGTGAAATGTGCCCATGAGCGCTCTGTCCATCTCTTCATCGACTCTCTGCTCAATAAAGACAAGCAGAGCATGGCCTACAGGTGCAGCGACAACAGCGCCTTTGACAAGGGCGTCTGTCTGGACTGCCGGAAGAATCGCTGCAACACACTCGGCTATGATATCAAGAAAGTCCGCACGGGCACCAGCAAGAGGCTCTACCTGAAAACACGGTCTCGGATGCCTTACAAACGTATGGTTTGTCATTTTGACCTAACAGCCGTGTAAAAGTCATAACTGACCAACAGGATACACTTATATGTCCCATTAAAGACTTAATATATATAAATAGCTTTTGCATGTGTTATTAAGGCAAAATAAATCTGTTTGATGGCAAGCTTACACAAAAATAAGGAGGCCAAATTTTATTTAAGTTAAAGCGGAGTGGCAGTAGATTTGAAAGGATTCGGTGCATCTGTCATCATGGCATAAAATCTCATCCCAAGAAGATTTCTAGTCGTTATTTGTTATTCAAATAAACCTACGACAAGACCTAGACTTTTTACAGCTTCATTTCTTTTGAGAATGAAAAAATGAGAAATTACAAACCACTAATTTCATTTGTAATTTAGATCTTTAGTAGGAAAGGGTGGCTTTTAGATTGGTGCCATCAACTGGGCTGGAAACCACAAAGCTTTGGTGTTTTAGTGGAACTTGCAGACATGAAAACATAAATATCAGAGATGGTGTTATGTTTTATTGTAGCTATGTGTAGGATTTTGAAACTTTGCACTTTGATGGCCTCATTTTCCCGGTTTTCTGCCTTGATTGAACTCCATTAGCTCCATAAGCCTAGGATAAGCAAATTAGATTTTAGTAGTTAAAAGTGAAAGATCAGGGCCACTTTGGCCTCATAAAACATTTTTTCTTTGTCTAAATCAAAAAAATTACAGAGCAGTTTTTGCCAATTTTTCACACTATCGAATAAAAACTTACATCTAAATCTGTTTAGACAGTCCACATCCATCAGTAAATGAATCCAGTCCTCTGTTTGACTGGTAGGAATACAAAATCAGCCATTATCTACACAAAATCTGTTCCTGTTTCAATGTTTTATTATCCTATATGTTAGACTGATAAAATGTAAAGCTAACAAGAAAAACTGAAAACTGTGTCGGGGGTTTCTCTGTAACCGTGTCCTCTTCTTCTTCTGTTTCTGGCTTCCACCCTTCAGTCTATCATTACCAGTTCAGGGTCCAGTTCATCAATCAGACAGAGAAGGTTGAGCCCTCTCTTACGATCTCCCTCACAGGAACCAAAGAAGAGAGTGGAGCTGTGGACATCACCTTGTGAGTACTGTACCAACACCAACCCCCCATCGGGTTTAAATCAGAACACATGAGCACTCTTTGACACATGCAATATGCAGCTGGGCTCTCAGCTCTACAAAGCAAGTTAAGGAGAGCAGCTGACACACATGGAAACAACTGAAGCCTTTGCATGAAAGAGAACTATAAATGGCAATGATGGGATGAATAATTTAAACAAGACAATATTCCCTGACAACTGTGTTATCCTTCATATTCTGTGTATCAAAGCGTCTCAGGCTAAACAGTGCTAGCAGAGGAAATCTCATCTGCTGTCCCGCTCTAGTCTGAGCCGCCACAACAGCCTTTTGCAGGGTGATTAACTCTCATCTAACTTTGTCTCTCTCGATTTCTGTTTTAAAAATCTCCACCAGCAATGAAAAGATTTCAGGTAACAAAACCTTCACCTTCCTGATCACCCTGGACAGAGACTTGGGGGAACTGATGTTGCTCAATATACGCTGGGAGGCATCTCCTCTGTGGGAAAATGTGTGGGACAAGGTGCAGACCATCATTCCTTGGAGAACTTGGGAAAGAAAAAGACTCCTGAATGTGGGCAAAGTCAGCGTCAAAGCGGGCGAAACACAGAGGAGGTACATGTGTTTCTTACGAGCTAGCAGCATAAAACCAAAAGTTTTTCTTGATTGCTGTAAATTTTCTTGTTTTAACCAAAGTTTCTTTAGCAGACAGCAAAAAAACAGGAATTGTTCTGTCTTTAATTGTTTATCTATTACTTTGGTGTAGAATGAATGGGGGAGGTTATTATCAACAAACTGTAAAATGTATAAATATATAATTAAATCAAAACCTTTATGCCCGCCATATTTTCTAAAGAAATCCAGCAGGCCGGATTGGAGTCTTAGCTGTGCCAATTCTGCCCCCCAGCCTCATGTTTGACACCCCTACTTTAAGGGCTTAAATGATGGAGAGCACAAATAATTATACAGCTTTTCATCATCATACCGGGCTTTATTCCACACATGATTCCAACACTGCTGAAGCCTTTTCTATTTTTTTAAACTATATATATATAAAAAATTAAGGTTAAAAATGAAATAACTGTACAACAAAATACACAATATATATAAATATATAAATATATTGAAATAATATATATAAATATAAATATATAATAAAAACACCCAGCACGCCCCTGCGGGCGGTTTATCCTTCAAGCTCGGGTCCTCTACCAGAGGCCTGGGAGCTTGAGGGTCCTGCGCAGTATCTTAGCTGTTCCCAGGACTGCGCTCTTCTGGACAGAGATCTCCGATGTTATTCCCGGGATCTGCTGGAGCCACTCGCCTAGCTTGGGAGTCACCGCACCTAGTGCTCCGATTACCACGGGGACCACCGTTACCTTCACCCTCCACATCCTCTCGAGCTCTTCTCTGAGCCCTTGGTATTTCTCCAGCTTCTCGTGTTCCTTCTTCCTGATATTGCTGTCATTCGGAACCGCTACATCGATCACTACGGCCGTCTTCTTCTGTTTGTCTACCACCACTATGTCCGGTTGGTTAGCCACCACCATTTTGTCCGTCTGTATCTGGAAGTCCCACAGGATCTTAGCTCGGTCATTCTCCACCACCCTTGGGGGCATCTCCCATTTTGACCTCGGGACTTCCAGGTTATACTCGGCACAGATGTTCCTGTACACTATGCCGGCCACTTGGTTATGGCGTTCCATGTATGCCTTGCCTGCTAGCATCTTGCACCCTGCTGTTATGTGCTGGATTGTCTCTGGGGCATCTTTACACAGCCTGCACCTGGGGTCTTGCCTGGTGTGATAGACCCCAGCCTCTATGGATCTTGTCTCAGAGCTTGTTCTTGTGCTGCCATGATTAGTGCCTCTGTGCTGTCTTTCAGTCCAGCTTTGTCCAGCCACTGGTAGGATTTCTGGATATCAGCCACCTCCTCTATCTGCCGGTGGTACATACCGTGCAGGGGCCTGTCCTTCCATGATGGTTCCTCGTCTCCCTCCTCTTTCTTGGGTTTCTGCTGCCTGAGGTATTCACTGAGCACTAGGTCAGTTGGGGCCATCTTCCCAATGTATTCTTGGATGTTCTTGTCTCATCCTGGACTGTGGTGCTGACACTCACCAGTCCCCGGCCCCCTTCCTTCCGCTTAGCGTACAGCCTCAGGGTGCTGGACTTGGGGTGAAACCCTCCATGCATGGTAAGGAGCTTTCTTGTCTTTATGTCAGTGGCTTCTATCTCCTCCTTTGGCCAGCCTATTACCCCAGCAGGGTACCTGATCACGGGCAGGGCGTACGTGTTGATGGCCCGGATCTTGTTCTTACCATTCAGCTGACTCCTCAGGACTTGCCTGACCCTCTGCAGGTACTTGGTGGTTGCAGCCTTTCTAGCGGCCTCTTCATGGTTCCCATTGCCTGCGGGATCCCCAGGTACTTGTAACTGTCCTCTATGTCTGCAATGTTGCCTTCTGGTAGTTCAATCCCCTCAGTTCTGACTACCTTCCCTCTCTTTGTTACCATCCGACTACACTTCTCCAGTCCGAACGACATTCCAATGTCATTGCTGTATAGCCTGGTAGTGTGGATCAGTGAATCGATGTCTCGTTCACTCTTGGCATACAGCTTGATGTCATCCATGTACAGGAGGTGGCTGACAACTGCTCCGTTCCGTAGTCGGTATCCGTAGCCAGTCTTGTTAATGATCTCACTGAGGGGGTTCAGGCCTATGCAGAACAGCAGTGGGGACAGAGCATCTCCTTGGTAGATCCCGCACTTGATGGTGACTTGTGCTATGGGCTTGGAGTTGGCCTCTAGTGTTGTACGCCACATCCCCATTGAGTTCCTGATGAAGGCTCTTAGGGTCCCATTGATCTTGTACAATTCTAGGCATTCCAGTATCCAGCTGTGGGGCATTGAGTCATAGGCCTTCTTGTAATCAATCCAGGCAGTGCACAGGTTGGAACACTGAGCTACTAGTTGTTTCGCCGTCATTATAAATATAATATATATATGATCCAGTCCAAACCCATTTCAACAACAGCCGTGACAAAAACTAAGAACATTAACTGAACTTTTAAAGGTGAAATGTTTTTTAGTGATTGATACTTTTCAGCTTGTTTGTTTTCATTGTATTATTTTTTTGTTTCATGATAGATCACATATTTCCTGTAGGTTGCAGGTCTAACTGCAGACAGACATGACAGGCTAGTTTAGTCTACAGCAGCCAACAATATGTGTCAAAAAGTGGTTTAGCATTATCTTTGCTGCATGCAAAAAGCTCTTCTCTGAAAGAGACGTCTGAATGGCTCTATCTGAATATATGTGTCATTCAGCATTAATGGGGCCTTCACGGATTAGCACGTTACAGCTGTGGCTCAGGAGGAAGAGCAGGTTGTCTACTAATTGGAAGGTCAGTGGTTTTAGTCTGCGTGTCAGTGTTTCCCTGGGCAAGATGCTGAGCCCTGAGCTGCCCCTGCTGCATCTATGTGTTAGGTTAAATCACTTTAAAAGCAATTAGGCATAGAAAATGGTGATTAAGGCTTGTGGCTAGAAAGTACTTTGAGTGCTCAAATAGAGTAAGAGAGTGCAATGTAAGTACCAGTCCTTTTACTGTTGCATCTATCGGAGGACACAGTGTCCATGATTTCCAAAATATGTTCACATTCCCACTCTGTACACATTCAAATGAGCTTTGACCCAGAGAAAGCTGCTGTGTTTTGAATGGTGTTTGGGTTTTTTTCTCTTTGCATTGTAAAGTTTTAACTTGCATTGGTGGCATCACAGATGACCTCTGTTGAACCTGCAGTTTTTCGTATCACATTCAAAGCACATATATATGAGCATATATGATATTTCCAAATATAAAATAAAAATCACACTGTGATATATAATAGAGCTGAAAATGGGATAAACAGGAAAGAAAGTCAAGTACAGTTGTCTCAAATTGTACAATAGTGCTAAGACGAGTAATATTACTGATACTGAATTATATTAATTCAGTTCAGTTTTAATGAAATACCACCAAATTGCAACAACAGTTGGCTCAAGGTGCTTCATATTGTAAGGTAAAGATGCTACAATCGTATAAAGAACACACTTGAGACCATTACAGACTGCTGATGCCATCTAGTGGGTTGTTTCCCATACACAGACTGGTTAATCTTTACTCCTGCACTCACTCTTTCTGTTCAATCGCACCGTGTTAACGACACCGTCTCTGTTTTCCAGGACATCTTTCTGTTCCATGACAAACGAGGGACAAATGGAAGCGTCAGAAGACATGGTGTTTGTACGCTGTAAGGAAGAGAGACCAAAAAGGCCCAGAAGAAAGGACAACTTATAGACTTGTGTGGGTCACTCGCTGAAGATCTAACTGAAGATATCAGTTGAATGGCTCTTGAAAACAACAACGAATGCGATAAAATTCTCCCTCCTTGAAGTGAAGTTGTGTACATTCAGGGAGTAACTCAGAAAACCATAATTGCTGGAAAGAAGTGCTGAATAAATATACTGTTCTTTTCTATCATGTCATTAGGTGGGTTTATTTTTCTACACATGCACAAAGGTCCATTCGTATCCAGCTACGGACTAACACATTTTTCCATGTCACAAATGTGCAGATATTTTGGTTGAATGAAAACACAACTGACAGGTTGAACTGTAAGTTAAAGCGCTAAACCCTTTAAAGCCTGAAACGGGAACTAATCTAAATTCTAACTGAAAATTGATGTTTATAAAACCCTCTATTGATGCCTATTTTGCATCTATTATTTGAATTTGTATCATAATTGCTTGAAAACAAAATCAGTCTTAAAATCTCATTAAGAGATTAAGAAAGGCAAGTAATTACCAGGTGATGACTGCAGAGGGCAGGCTGTTACAGCTGAAAACTCGAATGCAGTTGAATCTTGTTCTTCTAAATCAGGTGCGACACTTGAATCTTCTTACCAATCATCACTTTGAACCATTTGTGGGTTGAATAACATAATAACATTAAATTCAATTGTAAAATGTTTCTTTTTTAAAGTATCAGAAATCCATGGCGCTACCTTTTAACACTGGACAAAGAGGGAAACGATATGGTAAATTCAACTTTATTAATGCAGTTCAAGTAATTTAAAAGAAATTATACATTTCCACCTTTGCAAATGTAGTAAAATATTCAAATTAAGCAGGATGAGAATCAGAACAAAAGAAGGGGGAAAACAAAACCACACAATTTGAAGGCACAGTATAAAAGACAACGCATTAAATCAGACAGTAGTAATGAATCTATAACATTATGGATTCTGTTTACATCACTTACATTTCAGTGCAACATCAACAAACAAAATCCCAGAGTACTAACCCTCGACACCAAGTATCCACATCATACATATATTTTTTTTTTTAAAAAAAGATACAAATGTTTCAGCAAAGCGTCTCTCTCTCTCACACAGACAAAAGCTTTTTTTTAAAAAGCCACAGAAAATCTCATAACCAACAAAAAGCATAACTAGTAGCACCACAAAGACAAAGAACATAAGAAAAGGGAGCAAAAGAATTGCATTTGTGCCTGTTCACAAGCTTTGCTGCAGCACACGGTTTTCCGTGTACCCTCTCAGGAGGACACGCTGGAGGCATTTCTCACTGAGAAGGTCAAATGTTAAAACTCTGTGAAGCTCTGCATAGAATCTGGTCTGTAAGACATCCTGGCACCTTGCACATAAAGCAATGCTAAATTGCAGCTGCGCTCAACAGAGCTCATTTGTGGGAGCATCTCTTTTATTCTACTAAACATATGTTATGTAGTCTACAAATCATGTTTGTGTGTGTTCTGCATTTGTATCCATTTATCTGAAGAGAACCTAAAATTACACTTACTGAATACTGCTCAAGTTAAGCCAAAAAAGGTTTTTATCTGTGTGCAAAATTGGATTCTTCACGTGCTGGCTGATAAAGTGTCTACAATCAGGCAAGGCTATGCTCTAAGTTGCATCACACAGACATCGTTTCAGTCTTCAGTAACGATTGCTGACACTTGTACATCAACTTCAGTCACACTGCTCCGAGTAGGCACATATTTAATGTAATCACACAAAACCAAAGGGAGTAACAAAGGTTAACAAAATCCCCAATCAGTAGCAAAAAGAAGGACAGAACAGTAGTGGATGGCTGATGCGATGTGATTGTTCACTCTGATAAAGATCTGTTAACAGCAGCAACAAAGCAATAATACAATTAGAATCGCTAGACTTCCCAACTCCATGCACAATAGAAACAATCTCAACTGCATTAAAAAGCATTAAAAGCAAAAAACCAAAGAAAAAAACAAAAACAAACCACATATAAACCCGGACAGGTTCCTTATCTGGGTATAAAGGTCTGACTGCATTTGAGTGGTTTTACTTTGTCTTTAACAACTGCTTAATGTGTGAAAAGATGGACAGATGACAAGAGTTAAAAGACACGACAGTCAGACCAGGACTTCTCTCTCCTCTAATCAGTTCTGTACACTTGTATTGTTTGGTTTAACGCATTCTGGTTTAGCTTTCACTTTTCTGAATGTAGCACAAAGTGGTTGTTTCACCGCTCAGAGTCAAAGCAACCAGTTAGGTAAAAAGAGTTATTACAGAATACAAGTGTGATACAATCAGTTTAACAAAAGCTATTTTCTCGTCATTCAATTCCACCTCAAGTATTTTGTTGTAAACACATCTGCAAACCATATCACAACTACAAATACACAAATTCAGACCACCAGATGACTGACTGGTCTTATCGAGCTCATTTATATACATTCTTCCAGTCCTGTCCTCTGCCTTGGATGGCAGCTTACGTGACCTGTAGGCCTGAGCCAGAAGAGACTCTACCCAGACATCTGTAAGCAGTCGTCTTTACACTTGTATTCTGTCATTTTATTGATCCTGAGAAGATGAATTAAAACAGTGAACAATCTCCATTCAAAGAAAAATAAATTCATGTGAAACAAAAGACAAAACGACCTCAACATTTATATATTTGCACACAGAAGGAACAGAAGTATGCCTTACAAAAAAAATATATGTATTGGGGGGAAAAAGTCACATTGGCAAAAGAAAAACAGGTTCTTTTCAAACACAAAGTCTCAGATCTGTTTTTGATTGGCAGCAGAAATTTGTGAAAAACTAGTAAATTTGCTTTTCTCTCCTCCACAAAAAAGAAAAAAATTCAAAGGTTTTAAAAAAAGAAAAAAAAAAGAAACAAGATTAAGATTAAATAACGGAGATCAGTGAATTTCTCCCCCGTTCATCCTTGGAAAAATGTATTTCCTATAAAAGCTAAGTGAACCACTGCTAGTCTTGCTCTTAGAGCAGAGGTGAGTGAGTTTGTTAGACCCAAAAATACATCAGGTTTTGTCCAGTAAAAATGTTTCAGTTGCAAGTTCTCAGAATTCTGCAATAAGTGGTAAAGGTAACTCTTTGGAGTAAGGTGCTCCGATTGTAGGCACGAAGAAGAACCAAGGCAACAAGCGGACTTTTGCCTCATTGTCTCAACAGTCCCATTTGATACTGCTCTCTTTGTTGACGCTGCTGACGCTGCTGGCGCTGGCCCTGAGCTTGGCGCTGGCCTTGAGCTTGGCGCTGGCCCTGTGATGCTGGGGGCCGCCGTCTCAGAGTATTCAGGGTGTCTACAGGAAATGGACATCTCAATTAACTTAAAGAAATACAGTGAATGCTGCAAATTAATGCTACTACCATTTATATTGTTAGAAATGCCCACAGTAGAAGTGACTATTACATGATAAGGTAATCATGCTGGACTACAAAATATTTCTTAGCACCTTGCTATTCAGCCATCTCTTCTCTTTAACCTAAATATGCATTCAGTTATCCACAGTTGTTGAAGTTTATACACATACATACACACACTTGTGCATATTTATATCCTTGTGGGGGACATCTCATTGACATAATGCTTTCCCTAGCCACTTACCCTAACCATCAAAAATGAATGCCTAACCCTGACCCTAAACCTAACCATAACCCAATTGTAACCCTGACTCTAAAACCACATTTTGAGTCTCAAAAATGCTTTCGTGCCTCGTGGGGACCAGGTGGTCCCCACAAGGGCTGTCGGTCCCCACAAGTATAGTAAATTCCAACTTTTGGTCCCCACAAAGATGTTAATACCCATACACACACATACACACACACATATCATGAGCATGAAAGTCCTGGTAATTTAGGGATTTTATTTCTCTGAACTGTTCATTTTCCAGGGTGGAATAACTGTGCATCATACATCTTTAATTATTTAAAACACAAGAATTAGATGCAAAAGTTTAAATTTGTTTGGGATTTTCTCTAATCCATACAGGGATCCATACATGGGAATATCCCTTAGCAAGTTGCACCTCAACCCGAGGCTTTTGGCATAATTCTGACTGGATATGTGACCAGTCTTGGCAAAGTTTGGTTTGACTAAGGGACATTTAATTAAATGTTGTGGAGGGTGTATATTTTTGATCCTACAGAGACTGAATCAATTTTGGATTGTTTCTAAACTCCTTAAAAGTCTCAAATTACCATGACATTCATGGCCATGGCCTACTAAAACATGTAAATATAAACTGAGTTACATACAGATGAACTGTTAGTATACTTGCAAAATGTATTATATGCATTATTGAAAAAAACATTTTTTTTCTCAATGATGTATATACGTTTTTTTGTTTAAAAAAATACTTTTTTGTTGAAAATTATTAAATAAAAAATTAAATGGTTAAAATACAAAATGTATGAGAAAAAAAATATACATCCTCTGAGAATAAAGAGAAATCCTTACAAAGAAAAGAAACTAGCGTAATTTTTTTTTCATGCTATAAGGTTTTACAACAAGAGGGAAAAACCTCTGTGGTGGATGACCTAATCAAGTTAAACTGTACTTTGCAATGGGATTCTTAAAAAAGGAAATACTTGAGATTTTAGAAGTCCGAAGATTAATTTGTCACAAATAGGCTAAACTTAGAAGAAAAGAAAACCCTGATTTGAATGAACTGGAAGTCACGGCCCATCTGCTCATTAACATGGACATGTGCTGGAATCCTTGATGTGATGAAATTGACTAAATCTTACAAATAGAACCAGTATGGAGTTTGATATCCAAAATGAAAGTAAACAAACACAATTTTTTAATATCTAATTTCCCTTCTCTCCCTCACTCCAAAATTAGTTTTTCCTTTAACCCACAACAGGCCACAGATTACATCACAGTTTCCTTTTTTTGCAGAGCCCTGGTTTAGATACGTACCAGATACATGCTTGCGTGGAGGAAGCTTGGGGTTGCTACTGGGTGTGTGGACACTGCAGACCTTGATGAAGCCAACCATTAGCATGATGAGAGCAACACCCATCAACAGCACTGCCCACCAGTAGGCCTGAATGACACAGAATGTAATAAAAAATATTTAAGCACAGACAAGAATCACTAAAAATATTAGCTATGTGTGTTTGTCACCATGTTGACAAATCTTTGTCACTATATACACTCCCACACTGAGAC